CCAGCCAGCATGGCTGGCTGGGGAATTCTGGGAGGTGAAGTCCACAAATCTTAAAGTCGCCAACCTTGAGAAACACTGTTCCAGAGGGAGGCATTTAAGGTCAAAATCTCCCCATACACCTAATGATTGAATGGTTTTCCAGTTTGGAAGTTATTCTCCAATATTCTGGAGCACAGCAGTTTGACTGCCTCGCCTACGCTCTGGTACACAGCTCAGCAATTTGTCCATGCAAGTCAACAGAGGGGGAAAAAAAAATTGAGGGGTAAAACTGCTTCGATGGCATATTTTTCCTTTGTGTTCTTCAGCTCAAGTAAAGCTTTGTCAGTAGGGCTGAAGCGCACCACGCTCACCAAGCTTTTGATGAAAAGAGAATAAAAAACCCACAGGCTATCTCTATGTATGACACTTGAGGTGTTCTAAGTCAGATTCTGGCACGAGCTGGCAATTTATTCAGGCGTCGGCTGAGCTAGTGAAATGGCGCTGGGGCCGAGGGCTAACGTTTGAACATGGCTCAGATCTTGCAAAACTTCTGCAATCGGACCTTTCCTGAAATCAAACAAGATTCTGACTTAAAAAACAACAGCAGCCCTTTCTGTTTGTGTGTGTGTGTGTGAGTGTTTTAACACCACTGAGAATGTCACAGTTGCCCTGTCACCCATATGTGCTGCGCAGCCAGCTGAGGACTCAAGTAATCAAATTTCTGAAATCTGTGGCAAGAACCAAGAACCTAGTGCCTCCAAATATTTTGGACTTCAACTCCCAGCAGCCTCAGCTACCCCAGCCAATGGCAAGGGAGACTGGGAATTATAGTCTGAAAATGCTGGAGGGTTCAGACACCATTCGCGACTTTAAAAAGAAAATGACAACAGCCCCCCTCCTCCTCTTTATACCCCCATCTCATAGGCACCTGTTCATTGATTAATTGCAACTGCTGGCTTGTCCGATTGTCCATGTCAATGGCCACATCTCCGGAGTACCGGCGCTCGTCCTGAAGCATGCTGGAGCCCACTGTAGAACGAGATAACATCAAGGACAGCTCCTCTGAAGCCTCAATTTCCAGGCACAGTCAAGGGGTTCACCCCCTTCTTTCCCAGCCCAAAGTGATTCTGGCAACAGTTACAGGTAGTCCTTGCTTAACAATCACAACAGGGACTAGAAAATTCATCATTAAGTGGGGCGGTCGTTAAGCGAGGCATCACATGACCACACCCAAATTTACAACATTTTTTGTTGTAGTTGTTACGCTAATCACTGCGGTCATTAAGCGAATCTTGTCATTCCCCATTGATTACTTATCTGTAATTCTTTCCAACAACACAGCACGCTGGGGGACTCACCTAGGTTGTTTGCAGAAAGAGGCATGGTGGCCACTGGGGCACGGGAGAATTGCTCTCGCCGACTCTTCTGTTGCTTAAGATTCTAGGGAAGGAAGGAGAGGCAGGGCCAAGCGATTTGAGACACCAGGCAGGCAACTGATGTTAGCGCATCTCAATTTGCAAAGGAGGTCTCCCATTACAGCTATGGGGCGTGGTTGCCCAAAAGGCACCTTCTTATGTTCCCCCCCCTGTGATTTAATATCCTAACTGACTTAATATCCTGATGGTCCAAGAGCAACATACCTATAGAGACACCCCTCCTCTCTCACACACATTATCCACCTGCTGTAC